GATTTTGTTGTGAACGAGAGTCAGACTCATCTACTCGTTCTTCTGAAGTCCAGGTAGCAGGCCGCAAACACAGCGTATTGATGAAGTAGCCTCGAGTTCTAGATTTGAAGCTTTCGTGACTGCAAGTATTCATATTCTTAGGTTTTTTCCAGTAAAGTCACGTAGGTAAAAAATTAATAAAAGTAAAAATAAATAAAAAAAATAAAAATCTCGACGTTTCGGAGGCAACACAAGCTTCCGTCTTCAGGTGGAACCGTCACAGCCTGACTGCTGCATCAAGTGAGAGGTGTGACGGTTCCACCTGAAGACGGAAGCTTGTGTGCCTCCGAAACGTGATTTTTATTACATTTTTATTTTACTTTTATTAATTTTAATTTTTCACCTACGTGACTTTACCGAAAAAACCTAAGAATATGAATCCTTGCAGTCACGAAAGCTTCAAATCTAGAACTAGTTGTCATTTGTTCCAAAGTACGTGCACGTACAGAGCACGCTACGTGTGACGGATTTCCATCGCGGAAATTGTCGTCCATAGCAGCCTCGTTAGTGCTCATTTGTGCGGCGTCTGGACGTGACCTCGAGGGCTGCCTCGAGGTCACGCGTCTTGGAGCGCCGCCTGGCGGCATCGTGACGACTTCCCGGCCCACGAGGGGAACGTTGGAAGTCTTGGAGCGACCGACTCCGATATCGCGTCACTCAGGGGTGTCCAAACTTTTTTGCAAAGAGGGCCAAGTTGATCAAATGAAGATGCCCGGGGGCCAATAGTCCCTTCCGACATTATTTTTTTCACCACAAAAGTTACGTGAAAAACACCACACACTGTTCTAAAAAAATGTCATTGCCACAATTAACTTTATTTTTCAAATGACAATGTAACCAAATATAAGCCACTCAGGCAGACGTGAACAACTCTAAAAACGCAATTCTGCCTTTCATTCAGTCAGATAACATTGAACAAACTGTATAGAATACCTTACATTTCCATGAGTTAAATATCTTTACCTCATGAACATTTTTAACAGGAGTTATAAGTAATGCAAAGTGGTCTGTTATCATTAAACTTTAAAACAAGTGAATTTTGCCCTTGTTTTTTACAAGATCTTCAGAAAGCAATAGTTTGGTGTCACATCTACCAGCTACATAACATCAACAGTTATAACCAAATCTTATTCAAGAGTTTAATAAAACAAGTGCCATAAGTCCATCATGTTTGCAATAACCACAATACAAGCAGTCAAATGCAAACAAAAAGAAACAACTCTGATGATGATAATGATATGCACTGTCCTTGAAGTTGATTGGTCCACATCCGAGACAGTACCAGTTGAAAGGGTAAAAACCTAGCACTATATTTTGCCACTGGTAAAGGAGATGTCTCATAGTGTAAATGCTTACCCCGAGCTCTCAATACTCTGATAGTGCGCTGTCTTTGAGTTGTACGCCTTTTGGTGTCATCTGGTCCAACACCAATGGTGACCGGGCTCTAAGGAAAGCTGTCTCGGGTGTGGACCAATCAACTTCAAGGACAGTGCATATCTATCATCATCAGAGTTGTTTCTTGTTTGCATTTTGACTGCTTGTGTTGTGGTTATTGCAAACATGATGCCTTGTATAAAGGTGTCAGTTGTTGTACCAGTTGAAAAGGGTAAAAACCTATCACTATTTTGCCACCGGTAAAGGAGATGTCTCGTAGTGTAAACGTCAAACCACATTTGGTGAACGAGGCGTGTAACGATGGAACTTCTCCAAAGAGACACGCGACCGAGCCAAGTGTGATTGGGCAACTGCGCCGTGCGGCGCCTTGCGCACGAGCGCGTGAGGTGCACTGCCCCAGCAACGTAGCGGCGCAGAACCCGCCGCCGCTCACCGTCCGTCAGCGTCGTACCATTGCCGGCACGGGGCTTGCAACTACCCGCCCCCCTCTGTTCGCACCCGGGTGCTTCGACCCCTCCGGCGCACCGGCGCAGTTGCACCGCCTGTGCACTCGACGGTAGCTGCGCTGCCGCGAGCGGTGAGCGGTAGACCAGGCAGTGCCGTTCGAGTTCACCCTTCACTTCGCTGCCGGCCGCTGGCGGCACGAACCTCGTGGCCTACGCAGAGATGATTGCACGAGTTGGGCAACTTGCGTGAAGGGTAACTGCGTTGCAGGGCAGCAAGTAGGTGGCCGAGCTAGCGCGTGCTCAACGGGCGTGTTGTCTCCTGCTGAACGTGTTTGTCGTATTGAAACGGCTGCACGCCGTATGGAGCTGGAAATCAAAATTTCCCTGTACAAGAATAGGGGTAAGCCGAATGGGTTGACATGTATGAATGTGTGGCATTTAAATACAATACTCGTTTTTATTAAAGCTGTGTCTGTGTTTGTTCAGGGTGTGCCAGGGTCTCAGGGTCCTATGGGACCTCCTGGTGTGCCTGGACCTCACGTGAAAAGTTAAAGAAAGTGTGCGGTAAATAGTTGATGTCAAAGGTTTCTGGAAATTGTGACTCCCCCCTCAAACATATCTTTACCCCACGTAGTTATATATAGCTACACGCCCTACATACAACAGAGGAAGTAGTATCTATTGATTCTGTAGTTGTCTCGACGGACTGTACAGTAGTATCTACTGAGCCAGTAGTAGCTACTGACTGTGTAGTAGGATTTACTGCATTTCGTATTTTCATTAGAGAATGCACTGAATGTGTAAGTTGTGAATAAATGACGCTGCAGCGACGACAGCCTGACTCGTTCTTAGTTTAATGTCGCATTTAGTCGTCTAGACAAAAGTATCAGCTTAGATGCAATATCACCCTAAGAAAGTTACGTACCCGTTATTTTGGTATGATTTATCCAAGAGATAACTGCCTCATGTGGCACTCCGCTTGTTTCTACTTTATATATACTGTATTAATGTATACTTACATACATTTAATCACGATTATTTCCTGTTCCATCAGCTAAAATTACCATCATATATACAGTGAGGGAAAAAAGTATTTATCCCCTGCTGATTTTGTACGTTTGCCCACTGACAAAGAAATGATCAGTCTATAATTTAATGGTAGGTTTATTTGAACAGTGAGAGACAGAAAAACAACAACAAAATCCAGAAAAACGCGTCAAAAATTATAAATTGATTTGCATTTTAATGAGGGAAATAAGTATTTGACCCCCTCTGCAAAACATGACTTAGTACTTGGTGGCAAAACCCTTGTTGGCAATCACAGAGGTCAGACGTTTCTTGTAGTTGCCCACCAGGTTTGCACATATCTCAGGAGGGATTTTGTCCCACTCCTCTTTGGAGATCTTCTCCAAGTCATTAAGGTTTCGAGGCTGACGTTTGGCAACTCGAACCTTCAGCTCCCTCCACATATTTTCTATGGGATTAAGGTCTGGAGACTGGCTAGGCCACTCCAGGACCTTAATGTGCTTCTTCTTGAGCCACTCCTTTGTTGCATTGGCCGTGTGTTTTGGGTCATTGTCATGCTGGAATACCCATCCACGACCCATTTTCAATGCCCTGGCTGAGGGAAGGAGGTTCTCACCCAAGATTTGACGGTACATGGCCCCGTCCATCGTCCCTTTGATGCGGTGAAGTTGTCCTGTCCCCTTAGCAGATAAACACCCCCAAAGCATAATGTTTCCACCTCCATGTATGACGGTGGGGATGGTGTTCTTGGGGTCATACAAGTTAAGGGGGAGGAGGGGGGGAGCTTATCAGAATGTGGTAGCCAATGAATGGAACGTATTGGGAGGGGGGGGTGCTAAAAGAGGTGTACGTAGACGTCGACGTGGACGTGTTTGTGCGCAAGCCCCTGTTGGTGCACATGACAGAAGAGAACGAAAATGCCCATGTTGTTTTCACCAGTGTTGGCTGACAATCAAATACGAAAAAGGAGAGTACTGTTAAACGCTGGGGATGTCAACACTCGGTAAAGTAAAATAGTGCCTGTCAGATAAAATGGTCCAAAAATGTGTAGTTAAATCTTTTTTTGCATGGTTAATAACATCTTTCCAATGATTACTAAGTTTGTACCCATCATCACGGTTGAAATTATGTCTGTGTTTGTATATCTGAATGGCTTCGTGTACAAACCTTTGATGGTATCCAGAGGGTTTGCAGAGCACCTTAGTCTCGGAAAAAGCAATATATGAGAGCCCATCTGTGAAGGATGTCATCCCTGACTTGCAATACCCTGGAGTCTATAAACTGAGTTGCAGCTGTGGTGATTGTTACATTGGGGAAACGAAACGTCATGTCTCTGATCGTGTCCGCGAGCACAAGCAAGATTTGAAACACGGCAAAATTGAGTCTTCCGCCTTTGCCGATCATTGCTACAACGCGGTGGGCTCTCATGATATTGTTTTTTCCGAGACTAAGGTGCTCTGCAAACCCTCTGGCTACCATCAAAGGTTTGTATACGAGGCCATCCAAATTTACAAACACAGACATAATTTCAACCGTGATGAGGGGTACACACTTAGTAATCATTGGAAATATGTTATTAACCATGCAAAAAATATTTAACCACACATTTTTGGACCATCTGCCGCCCTTCCATGCGCACCTTTCCCTGTAAAACACGAGATCATCGAGTCCACGCATTTCCCCCGTGTTCGACGAGGGAAATGCTCGCCGGGGGGGGGGGGGGGGGGACGCTGGGATTCACTGGGAGATGCTGCACTCGGTGCCGGCGACATACAGAACTTGTGGGTCCTCGTGGTCAGCAAATCTGAGTGGGAGAAGCGGCATGTGGTTGGAGGGGCAGAGGTGGTGGTGGGGGGGAGGGGGCAGGGTGAGCGATGTGGACGAGTCACCGACTCCTCCTCTCTCTCCCATCATGCTGAGATCTCGGTGGCTACTTTGTCCCAGGCTCGGGAGCCGATTGCAGATCTCTTGCAGGGATCCGCCTGGCGCCCCCCCCCCCACCCCGTCGGCAATCACGCAGGGTGGCGGTGGGTGGGGTGGAGTGAGGGAGGGGAGTTGAGGGCAACTGCGAGGTGCGGAACGACAGCCGCGCCATCAGGCAGCGACATCCGCTGACAATTTTGTCCGGCCATGATTGTTGTTGCCAGGGGCGAGGCCCGTGGGGGCCATGGCCGACAGTCGACGGGGCGAGCGATCGAGCCGGCGGATTAGTCGGGGCCCCAGCTTCCAGCAAGCCGCCGCCGCCGTCACTTGCACGTGTACTCCTCCGCCCCCTCGCTGCACGTGCTGCAGCGCACGTAGGCACCAGCGGAACTCGCACTTGCAATGCCACGAGCGCGTGTACCGGCGCGTGTCGTAGCCGCGCCGCAGCAGCAGCTCGCAGCCGTCGGCGTGCGGCGACGTGCGGTCGCACGGGCGGCCGCGCGTGCCCACGCTGCCCGTCAGCCGGTCCTCCTCGCAGTAGCTAGGCGAGCTCTCGGTGAACACGAGCTCCGTGTGGAGCGGCTTGCGGTGGCCGCGCGAGCGCGCCTGGAGGAAGGCGGGGTAGCGGTGGCGGTAGCGGCCGGCGTGCACGGCTCCACGTGGACCGCCTCGTCGTACTTGCGCTTGAGCGCGGAGCCCACCTCGCGGAACTGGGGCAGCGTGGCCC